TGGGAACCAGCGAAAGCAGCTCATCGGAGCAATTACTATGAAAGTATCTGTAAAAAAAAAAAAGTGAGAGGCAACGGCACATCTGTGAGAGAGCGACTGCAGATGAGATGCCAGATCAGGGCCAATTATATTGCATATCTGTCTCTGGATCTTATCAAGAACCCCGAGGAAAACAGAAGGGGCTCCAAACCATATATGGTCACAATACTCCATGCAAGGGCAGATTTGAAGGATTGATTCTGGGGAGAAAAATTTCCTGGCGCAGCACAGGGAGCCAACTTTCCTTGTGGTGGACGAAGCAATTGACTCAATGTATTTGTTCCATCTCAGGTCAGTAGACAACATGAGACCGAGCAGCCACAGAGAGGTGCTCTCAGGAAGTTGAGCGTCAGACATTCTTATGGGGGGCAGAGAAGGATCTCCGTGGTGATTAATAGAGAGCAGTTTTGTTTTAGAAGCGTTAAAAAAGGGTTGTTATACAATGTGGTAATGGTTAAAGAGGCTGGTCAGAATTTGCTATTTCATTTTTTAAATGAGTACTTGTCAATGTACAGTACGGCTTGATAAAAGTGACTCAACTTATCCATTGAATTTAGCTCAACTTTTGTTTCATCGGAGAAGAGAACATTCTTCCAGTCTTCTATGATGACATTTTTGTAATAGTGAGCCCATTCAAGTCTGTTGGCTTTGCTTATTAGTGGCTTAAACCTTCATGTACAAGATTTGTAGCCTTGTTCTAACAGCCACCGATGGACTGTTGAAGAGGCAAGACTAACACCTTGCTCTTCACTTAGACTGGCTGCAATTTCTTGGCTTGTTATAATCCTATTCTTCGCAACTTCTCTCTTGATTACCCTGCCAGTTCTATCATCAATCTTTTTCTTTTGCCCCCTTGTTTCCTTCCTTGGAGTGGCATAATTATGTGCCCTAAGCACTCAAGAGACAGTTGATTGAGAGGTTATAGCAATTTCTCTCATAGACTTGACTGCTTTTGAGAGGGCAATAATAGATGCCTTAAGTGGTTCTGGTGCGTGTTTGTACCCTTTCATCTGGTTAGTGACTTGAGTGGCTATTTCACCCTTTTTTTATACTGTATGAGGCTTTCTGGAATATTCTGGAATACTCTAGATTTAATTTAAGCTGTTCTAGAATTCTCTAGAATATTGTTCTGAGTGTATTGTAAAATAGTTTTCAATATTTTGTCAAAAGCTCTTTAAATTTACCAGTTTAATCATTAGAATGCGATATCTGAGTTACTTTTTTTTGCATAGAGTTTTTTCCTGAATCTCATTTATAACCAAATTTCTAATTATCAATAGAATACCTTAGGATGAATAAACTTTTTTCCTAGGTGGTCGGGAAGGTGTTTTATATTAGTAAGATTAAAAATTATTCTAACTCCAAAAACAATAGACAAAAAATATTTTTAGTAAAAATAATCAGGTGAGTCACTTTTATCAAACAGCACTGTACTTTTGAATTATTGTTCTCATCTTGGCTGATATAGATGTCATTATAGGCAACATTTTGTCCAAGTATTCTCTGGCTATCATAAGGTGTCCATTGATTTTCCTGATATGGGATATCTGTTGATTATTATGTTTTTTCACCTCTGTGACTCCAGTTATTGTTCATTTCTGCTGAAACAATTTTTGCTATCTCTCCTAATCCCTGTTCTGCTAACCATTTACATAAGCTCATTAGGTAGGTCCTCTACTGCTTTCCTCTGTTCCTCTTGCTTTCAATATGTCTTGTGAGTGTCAAATTTTCCAAGCCCTCTTTTCACTACTTGTTTTACTACCTACTGCACCAGAGCCTAGTTATGTTGACCATTACTAATGAGTTATGAGTTCAATCTGTACTAGGTGCCCCATGAAAAATTTAACATTAAATCATCTAACAAAGATTGACAACTTGCAAAATCAACCAACCAAAGAACAAATTCAGGATCAAAGTAAACTATATAACAAACTTTATTTTTCATAAGGGTCTGCAATTTTATTGGTCCTGATTTCAGTCACTTTCTCACTGCTGTAACATGGCTTCCCTCTGTCTTTTCTATAAATATTTTCATGGCAGTTGTTCTAATGAGCATGTCTCCTTGGTACCTCAACTGCATGAATTTAAGCGTTGTACTAGATTGGAAAATAGGTCTCATTGTTTTACTGTTGAAATAGCTAGATGTAACTGTAAGTACTATTCTATTAGTTTCTTTTCTCACACTTCTTATCTGTGGAAATCTTTTCCATTTTCTTGTTTCCCTGCCACCTAAAATCATCAAAAATTTAAATGCAATGTTAATCACCATCTTCTGTCTTCCTGAATCCTGTTCTTTTATTGTCCTTTCTCCTCACTAATGCCTTCTCATTCTCTTTCACTCACAGTAAGCACTTGTGTCTTAGCAGCATTATAGCCTTGCTTGGGGTGAAATGATTAAAAAAAATATCTTATACTTAGAATCAGAAAGAGATAAATGAAATTTTTAGAACGCATAATGAGGAAAGAGTGATTGGAGAATTAGATACTCAGCAGGATATAATGAAATCAAGATTTAAGTGTGCTACAAGATTGGCAACAAGGTTCCACTGTTTTACTGTTCGTCTAGTCTGATACAACTGTATGTTCTATTCTAATAGTTTCTTTTCACACACTTCTCACCAGTGGAACTCTCTTCTGATTTCTTGCTTCCCTGCCAGCTACAATCATAAAAAATGTAAATGTAATATCAATCACCATCTTCTGTCTTCCTGAATCCTGTTCTGTTATTGTTCTTTCTTCCCACTAAAGTTTTTTCATTTCCTTTCACTCTCAGTAACCCCTTGCTTCTTAGTGGTATTATCACCTTGATAAGGATGAAATTTAATGAGAAAAATTACATCATCAAGTGATTGGAACTTCCAGGAGAAGCACTGGAAAGTTTGTTAAAATATCAGGTTTGTTAAGTGATTTATTTCAAACAACCATAACAGAAAAATATATGAATCCAAAATTTTTTCCCATGTACTTTCTTTATGAGAATTGTGCAAAGCAGAATCACTGTTAACTTTTAAAATGAGGATGACTTCTCAAACACATGTATTCACTAAAATAACATTTATAGTAATAATAATAATAACTATATATATATATATATATATATATATATATATATATATATATAAAGGGTAGTTTATATGGATAGGAAGGAAAGATAAACTTGAACAGGTTAAGATTGTAGTGATCAGGAAAACATCCTCTTGGGAGTCTGTTCCATCGGGCAGTGGTTTGCAGGAAGAAGCTTTTTGAATGGAACTTACTTCTCGCCAATGGAATATGGAGAGAATGAGGGTGGTTTGCTACTATGTAAGTGGCATAGCAGATACTAGCTGTGAAGGTCAGACCTAGTGGAACCACAAGATGCAGTTCATCTGAACACTTTCCATGGTAGTAGCAATAAAGCAATGAAAGACTCGCCAGCCACATCCTGCCAGTGAGAGCGACGTTAGAGTTTGGAAAATAATTCTTCTCCAACAAGGACTCGGAGATACTTTTATTGTTCTCAGCATTGTTGTTGTTATCACAACAATTTGGCCATTGTGTCCTCCATTATAGCTCACCTGTTTCCAGTGAGTGCAAGTACACACACTACTTCACCCAGGGATTGAACTCACAATCACTATATCACCAAATTCATAAACCAATGCTTTAATTAACTAGGCCATTGTATCATAGCAATAACTGAACAGTAATAAATAAAAATAAGAACTAGGTGATATCTCTAGAAATGAGCAATGGAACAAGAACAGTCCACCTCTGTCGACTAAATAAAGGGTTCAGTTCAGAATTTCCTCTAGGTTACCCAGATTGATATACACCTGAGGAAGGTCAGAGAGCACAATGGTCAAAACGTTGTGATAACAACATCAAAGATGATTGTTGGTTGGTTGGATTTTGCTTAGTGGCATATCAACACCTCTATTTAATGCTGATATCTAAATATTTTTAATGCAATTTTATGCTTTTAATTACAGATATTTTTTGTATAATTTTATACTTTTAGGGAAAACATATTCTTTTTAGATATACAGTTTGTAGATGATAAAATGTATTGTTGGTATTTTCTTTTAAAAAGTTACTGCCGGTAATTTCAATACCAAAATGTATCCTGGTAATTTTGCCATAAAAATGTATTTTTATGCTTTGTCTTAGTGTTGTATTCTTGATCATTTTACTATAAAAATGTATTGCTGGCCATTTTACTATAAGAAAATGATTTTATACTTTTTTAGATTTCTGATTTTTTTTTTTTTTTGGCGCTATTCACTATTTGCCATACCTGGGGGCCTAACAGTTGCTACCACCCTGGGTCAGGGTGGACCTGAGAACAACAGCAATTAAGAGCTGGTTCCATATTCCTCAAAACCTTCAATCTCCCAATCAGAGGCCTTGCTGCCATATATAATTTATCATCATATCTAAGATTACAACAAAGATGAGGGCAATAGTTTGAATATAAATAGTATAAAAAATGTTATAACCTGCAAATATTTGCACCATAAATCTATGAAAGAAAAATAACAGTAAGATGATTTAATATATATTTTGATATATGAATATATATTTTCAGTGAAATTTATTTTTCACACTGAGGTATATTGCAGAGGTACAAATTGATACATAAGTGGATATGTAATGATTCAATTACATAAACTTTGAAGAAATTAAAAAAACAATTCATGCAAATAAATTTAAAACTTTGATTTTAAATTTGGTTTGCTGTTTTTGTTTAGTGGCATGCTGGAAAATATTTTTAGATTAAGAAATTTTTTTTTTGAGATAATAATGATTTAATGACCTAAGTTTACTAATTAACCCATAGCTGGGGAGAGAAGAGGTGGATTCATATGTTTCCCAAGGGTATTTGTGCATAAGTGAATATAATAAACCCAACTAGAATTGAAGCTTGGCTCTCTGATTAACAATTCCAAGCCATTAACCATTACACCAACTGCACATCCAAGCTTACAGCATATGCTATTCCCAAGCAGTCACCCATCTAGGTACTGACCAGGCTTGACATTGCTTAACTTTGGTAATCCTATGGGACTTGGTGCTTCAACATGACTTCAAATTTGTATCATTTTCTGAGACAACCAAAAAATGCAGAAGAAATAATGTCATCTGCGTGTTTTGATTGAACTGAACAATGACATGACCATACACACTAATAGTGATGGGTAAATGAATGAAAAAATGGTAAAAGAAACTTCTATTTTATGCATTTTGTCCATCAAAAAAGACACTTCACACTTGGTTTTATCAATGAAATCTTATTCATGTAGGTGGGGAGTGAAATACAAAGAAAAAAATGCTGCTTACAAGCCTACATTGGTGAAATGCTGATGATATAGAAATGCCCAGCTTCAAATTTAAAGGACTTCTTTGGTAAATTTGTGTTCAGGATCATACAACATATGTCCTTTCCTGTAGAATGCTTGTGCCGAATACATGTCAGTACAGATGCAACAGAGGACCTGAGTCACCTGTGGACATGTCTGTCGATGTCAGTCACATCTGGCTTTCTCCATTAGCAGCTGAACAGCTTGGCATATCCAGATTTGGGCCTACTGCAACTTGTTCAGATTGAGGCCTTTGTCAACTAATTCATGTCATTAAAAATGACAGGAAAACCAGCAGTCGGTAATCTGCTTTTTGCAAGACTCGCATTGTTATCATCAAAGACTTGGTGTTTTGTAAAGATTTTCTGTTAGTACATCTTATTCTGGAAGTTGTATACTGCTAACCATGCTGTGTTTTTTGAGGTTAAGTGTTTCCTCCAGACTCAAAACACCCTTGCCTTATTTTTCTACAATGCTTAATAACAAAACTTCCATAACATAGACAAAACAAAAAACAAACTAAATGGATTTGGCTTGAAAAATGGTTCTCAACCTTTTTTGCCCAATGCATTCTTTTCACCATAAGTCAAAATGTCATCTCTCCTCATTTTCCCAGATTGTCTGCTTCAAAAGGTGCATTCCAAATAATATGCATATATTACTGAAAATCTTTATTCTTTTGCATATTAATACATATACATTTACATGGATTATTCCTACTGAGTCATTTTACAAATTTAATAGCAATAAAAAATGTTGATTGATTTTTAAACTTCAACACCCATACAGTAATTTTTTTATAACTCATAACTATTAAATAAATAAACTGAAATATATTTCAATAAACAAAAAGTTCAATAAAATGCCAGGGTATTGTAATTCAATAAACACAATTCTGTAAATGAAACAAAAACAAGAAAAATTTAAAGATCATAACAACCCCCCACCCACCTTTGAAACCCTGAAATTCTCTCCTGGTTAAGAACCTGTTGTCTATGAGAATAAATCAGCAAAAGTTTATGTCATTATTTGCTCTTTTCTGAAAAAAAAGTTTACATAAATAATTCAAATTTTAAATTTAAATCTTTATAAATAATTTATTTTAATGAAAGAAGCAAAACTTTCATTTAAATTTGAAAAACAAATTGACCCACTCACATGTCGTATATACTTGAGTATAGTGCGAGTTTTTAAGGTCAGTTTTTTATGCAATTAATATGCATATGTGATTGAAAATCTTCATATTTTACTCTATTAGTACATATAATTTTACATGGATCATCTTTTGTAGAGGAGTTTTACGAATTTAATAGCAATAGAAAATGTTGATGGATTTTTAAATTTGAATGCCCGTACATTAATTTGTTTTAATTCAAAAGTAACTATTAAATATATAAACTGAAGCAGATTTCAGTAAGCAAAAAAATTCAATAGAATGCCAGGGTACTGTAATTCAATAAACAGAATTCTGTACCTAAAATACAAGAAAAAGTAAGGTTTTTCCCTCCCCACTGAAACCATGAAATTCCTTCCTTGGGGAAATCCCCACCTGACTAAGAAGCTCTAGGCTAGACTATATACCCCCCTTCCCCTCCCCATCATAAATTTAAATTTTCTGCAACCCCTACCCATTGTGTGCATGTTAAGTTATAAACATCATTGTCGTTTGATAAAGTTCTAAAAAACAAAACGCATCATACAAATAGTTTTTTCCCATATTGTTATTCATTGTCTAAACAATAGTCATACAAATAAAAACAAATGTATAATATTGTCCATAACTACATATACAAGAATGTCATTTTTGATAAAAGTTTAAAAAAATAACCATAAATACATAAAAAATGTGTATATTGTTGAAAATTCCTTTTTCCACACTATAACTATTTGTGCTGTTATAATGCTTATTACCTAAACAATAATAATACTGAATAATTCTTTTAAATAATTTTAATTTAAAAAAATTATAAAAAACTTATTAAAAAAGTATATCTAATCACATCTCTCTAATAGCTGTTGCGATTTGTTAATGTGAATTGTTTATTTTGTATAATAATAGTTTCTTGGGTATCATTCCCCTTAAACTTTACAGCTTAAAATGGTAAAAAAATGTAATATCACAGGACAGAGCTTTAATATGACTATAACTTATACAATCATCAGGTGGAGGAATTATGCACGAAGAAATTAAAGAAATTAAAAGACAATGGAGCCTGTATATGATTGAACCTCAAGTCAGATGTAAGCTCTGTTATTTTATTTTATTTTGATTTATTATCAATTAATTTGTTCATACACCTGCTCTATAATTGAATTATATTGAGCATTTAATTAAACTTGAAGAAAAAAATTTTTTTACAAAGATTGCTATCCACTTATCAAAGAGCTTGACAATAAAATGAAAGCTGAAAGTTGTTCATTAGGTTAGGTTCTTTTTTTTTTGAAAACAAATTTTCAAAAATAAAGAAGCTACAATTCTACTGACAACAGTATCACTTACCTGGCTACAGCAAAAATGCGTCACTCTTTTATATCACTTGACAGTCAGTAAGTCATGATGTGTTTCAACATAATTCTTTGCATTTGAAATCATCATCTGAAGGATATAAAATGATAGTCTTAATTTGAAAAAAAATGTGTAAGAGAATAGACTTTAATAACACAATACACTAATCAGTAATCAGAGAAAGAATTCTGTTATATTACGACGATAATATCAAGTATCAAGAGGCAGAATGTCAGTTGAGACTTAAACTTCCAGTTGCTGCAAAACTCTTTTAATCTTCCTACTTGATTTGAGTGAGCAAGCAAGGACCTGTTACGTGGTTGTTAGTTGCTTGATAAATTTTCAAGCATTTCCTCAAGAATTTTATTTGGGTCACTGACATGCAAGTGCCACAGTGTCATTTTCCGAATGCACTGCTAGAACTTCCCTGTTATTATCTTATGATGCATGTGCAAAGGTAGTACAAATTTTGAGATCATTTCTGAGAATTAAATGCTATGTCATTATTGCTAATATTTGCTTGCAACAAAGATGCATTATTATTAATTTTTGATTAGTTTTTCTTAAAGAAACAATCATGATTGATCATGATTGTTTCCTTAACCATTGTCGTTGCTAATCTACAGAAACAGCAACAATAAAGACAAAAAGAAAAACTTGACACAAAAATTATATTACATCTAAGAAATCCAAAGTAAATACATTTTGCATCATGATACAATATATATGGAAATTACAGTGGAAGATTTATTACAAAACTTACAATAGCAGCAAAAACTGAAATATAACTAAACAGGAAAATAATGATATAAATCAAGATGTTGACTTTCCACATAACCTTAAACAAAAGGTTAGAAAGGAAACTCCCACGACTACAAGAAAGAGCTATAACAGTGGATTTGAGAAATCTATTTTGCTGAGAAAGATTTTATGAATTTCATCTGATAGTAATGATATTTGTTCAGTTGATAATGCTAAATGATTCCTATATAAAATTTGCCATCATCATTTTAACAAAGATTCATATGTGTGTGTTTATGAGTGCATGCATATATATATATATATATATATATATTAAAATTTGTCACATGCAGTGGGGGAAAGTACTTAATATTGGGAATAGAGCATATATAGATAAAAGAGTGTGAACACAGCATTGTGACTGGCAGTTTCACATCTTAAGGGATCAACATGATATTTTGATGATCATGGGGCAAAACTAATAGTCATTATGTTGATGTCTATGTCCATACTGTGTGTGCACACACACACACACACACACACACACACACACACACACACACATATATATATATATATATATATATATATAAAAGTGGATATTGAAGTCAGCATCTAGTGGTGACAGTCTGTTTCTTCCTTTAACACAATCCTCAAGCCATATATATATATATATATATATATGCATGTGTGTGTATATATATATAGTTTGAAATTTGATGGCCTGAAGATTGTATTTAAGCAAGAAACAGACTGTTTCCACTGAGTATTGATATCTGTGCCCACACTTATATATACGATCTATCACTGATATTGAACACTTTAACCCATAAATATAGCATACCTTAAAACTGTATTTTTATCATATATATACATACACACACACACACACATATATATATATATATGTGTGTGTGTGTGTGTGTGTGTGTGTGTGTGTGTATATATATATATATATCTCAAACATGTTTAGTTGAATAATATTGAAAAAATTCTGTGTATTAAATTTTTTTAAATTTACAAATTCGTTATTTTATGTCATCCATAAAATTATGAATAGTTGACAGAACTTGTCGATATTATTCAAACAAATATGTTTGAAATAATTAGTGCTGCCAAAATAAACCCATATATATATATATATATATATATATATATATATATATATATATTGAAATTTACTATATTTATAATGGAAGAGTACTCAATATCATAGACAGAGAATTTGTACATACAGACAGTGTGGGCATAAGGATCAACATGCAATCAAGTGTGCTTCAAACAATTTTATTGTCAAACACTATAATAAGTGGATGCAATCTCTGTAAAAACCTTTTTTTCTTCAAGTTTCATTAAATGCTCAATATAATTCAATTATAGAGCAGGTGTATATTAATATATATATATTAATTGATAATAAATAAAAAGACAATAAAATAACAGAGCTTACATCTGACTTGAGGTTCAATCATATATAAGCTCCATTGTCTTTTAATTTGTTCATGCATAATTCCTCCACCTGATGATTGTAGATTGAGATGAAGCACTTTACACATTCTGAAGTGACATTTTATAGTCATATTAAAGCTCTGTCCTGTGATATTACATTTTTTTACCATTTTAAGCTGTAAAGTTTAAGGGGAATGAAACCCAAGAAACTATTATTATACAAAATAAACAATTCACATTAACAAATTGCAACAGCTATTAGTGAGATGTGATTAAATATACTTTAATTTTTAAACAAATTTATTCAGTATTATTATTGTTTAGGTAATAAGCATTATAACATAGTACAAAATAGTTATATTGTGGAAAAAGGAATTTTTAACAATATACGCATTTTTTATGTATTTATGGTTATTTTTTAACTTTTATCAAAAATGACATTCTTGTACATGTAGTTATGGACAATATTATGCATTAATTACTAATTTTTTTAATAAATAACTATTTGTGCTCAGTTATTGACATTAACAGCTATCTGTTGATATGTTAAAATTTTGAAATAATGCAATAATAAAAATTTTAATTTCATCTCTGTGATAGACGTCGCGATCTGTAAATAAAATATCTTTCACCACTGTAGATGCTATCTTGAATTGTGTCTGAAATATTTCATGTGTATATAAAAAAAGCGCATTCTTTATGGTGAGGTCTCATTCCCCTTAACCATTACATATAATGTCAGTGGGCCGATTCAAATTTTCAGCTGTTTATATAACAGCAGGATGTAGCTAAAGGAATTTTGCCTACCACAATGACAGCACATGGTTCTTGATAATGACGGAGACTGGAGAAAATACTTGAGCAAAACAACTGAACAAATACGAGCTTTGGTTCTTCCACAATTTTGATGCCAAAATACAACAGCTTATTGGAAAGTTGGAAAAATGCAATAAAAAATAAACAAACAGATCTTGTTGGCTATGTTAAACCAAACTTATTTGAATGTGTGAGCATGTGTAAAAGATAGAATATACAAATCTATATATCAGACTAACAGTAGGTAACTGAATAACAAAATCGATACAATCATGACTAGTCTGAAGAAGTCTTTTCATGGGCTGAAACATATAACTTGGGTGTGTTTTATTCCATTTTGTCATTCAATTACACACTATATATAATTATGCGTGGATGTAATTATGATTTAAAATTTTAATTTTGTAGAAAATTTAAACTGTTCACATCTTTCTAAATTTATATTAATTTTCAGTGTTTAAAAATTAAGGGTTATACATTTTAGTAAAATCACAAATTTGATCCTCACTGGGTACAAATTTGATCCTCACTGGGTACCCTCTACTGAACAAAGCTAAGCTTAGTAAATAACAAAGAAGGATTCTGAAGGTTATATTTTTTAAATTGCAATATTAGAGAAAGAAACATGAACAGTTTTCTGTTGATGAAGTGATTTTCATTAAGATCTTTCAAAAGTAAATCAATTATTAGAAATTAAAATATTATTTTAGAGAAGCAGAATTTTAAGAATTGTCAATTATTTTTCTATGTTCTTTGACTACTGGAATAAGATAATTAGAGAAAGAACAACAAGTAGAAATATATATATATATATATGTGTGTATATATATATATATATAAAAGCATTTACTCACACAACATAAATGCTGGCTTCTCTTCTTGTCTTCTGTTGAAGTCTGAAAGGCTTCCTGGTTGAGCACTACTTCTTGTCACACTGATATTTCATCTCTCAAATAACAAGGGCATCATCTGTGCAGGTGTGAGGGTGCATGTGTTTGCAAGTGTTTGCATAGGTTTAGGTTTGTGCATCTTAATATAAAATGCCAGTAAAACTAAAAAAAATGAGAGAGGAAGTAGCTTGTCTGTCAAGTCATATTCTGTGTGCATGCATGACTCTGAGAGAAATGGGGATAGGGGGAAGAAGAGAGAGAAAGAGGAAGAGAGAGAAGTGGGGATGGGGAGGAAGAAGAGAGAAGTGGGGATGGAGAAGAAGAAAAAAAAGAGAGAAGTGAGGATGTGGAGGAAGAAGATAGAGAGAAAGAGGAAGAGAGAGAAGTGGGGATGGAAGAAAAAGAGTGAAATATAGAGTGAGAAAAAGAGGAAATACAAATATGTGACAGTATGTGAGAGTGTGTATTTCTGTATGCATGAAGAAATATCAACACTTGCATATATATACATGTGTATGTGTGTGTGTATAAGTTTTTGTGTGTGTTTAAATTTGATATATAGATGCATGTGTAAAGGTTACAGATTTATATATTTGTAAGTCTATTATGTGTGTATAAGGGTGATATGTGTGTGTATGTATGTGTGTGTAAGATGATAAATAGATGTGTTTAAGCATATTATATGTGTATGTAAGTACAACATATACATATGTGTGTTTCTGCATGCCTGTTTAAAGGTGATAGATACATGAGTGTATATATATATATGTGTATGTGTGTTTTCATGTGTTTAAATTTGATATATACATGCATGTGTAAGGATTATATATATGTGTGTTTGTAAGTGTGATATTATGTGTGCATGTGTGTGCAAATGTGATAAATAGATGTGTTTAAGCATATTATTATTTGTGTATGTAAGTACAACACATACATGTGTGTTTGCATCTGTCTGTGTCTGTTTAAAGGTGATATATGTGTAATGGTGATAGATACATGTGCATAAGGATATATATATATATATATATATATATATGCATGTGTAAATATGTTATGTATGTTTATTTAATAGTATATAAGACAATTTGGAAAAAAATTAACTTGATAATTAATCTTGCATCATCTGAAAAAAAATGTTTGAAAAACAAAATCTGCATTACTGAAATGAGATATGATTTATATTGTTACAGAAATTACATTTTAACTAATTTCATTTAGTCATTTTAGGGTTAAATATACCACATTGTTTTAATACTTAGTTAGAAATGTTGATATACTGCTTAAACGATGTGGGATATTAAATAACTGGGTGATAGTCTTTTTTTTTTCTTTTTTCAATCATTTCACACCAAGCAAGGTGATAAAAGCTGCATGGGGTTACAGACAGTAAAAGAAAGAGTGATGATGATAAAAGGACAGGATTCTGGGAGACAGAAGATGACAATTAACATTGCATTTAAATTTTTGAAGATCACAATTGACAGGAAAGCAGGAAGCCGGAAAGGAATGCCACAAGCGAAAAGAGCGAGAGAAGAAACTATTAACATAGAAAGTAGGGTTACAACAAACAAATTTAAGTTAAAATCTAATTTCTCTAATGGCAAAATTTAAAATTAAGCTTTTAGATGTTTAGCATAAATCATGGTCGATTTTAGTCATCGAGATTTTGTCTTTTCAAAGGAAATTTTTTTCCCATAATACCAGGTTATGAGCTAAATTTGTCAAGTTAAAATTTTTCAAAATTGTCTTATCTATATATATTTTCGATTCCATATGTTTTCATCAAAATTCTATTTATACCTGTGCAATATATATATATATATATATATATATATATATATATATATATATATATGTATGTATGTATGTATGTATGTATGTGTGTGTGTTTAAAGATGATTTTGTGTATGTGTGTGTGATATATATGTGAATGAGTATATATACTCGTACATGAAGTGGGTTCAAATATGGATTAGAATCAAACAGAATGATAGAACAAGAAAAGTTTCCTATTTGTTCCTTATCCTATCATACTTGTACATATATCTCTTCATATATAAGTATCTATTTGTATATACATAACAGTTTAAGTATCTACTTATATGTAAATATGTGTGTGTGTGTTTCTGTACATGATCAAATGTGGATGTATATGTACAAGTGAGTGAGAAGAGTTAGAATATGTATGTTAAATGGAAGTATTCATGAGAGATAGAGAAGCTGAGACAGGGAAAGAGATCAGATGTGCGTGTATATATGTACAAGTGAGTTAGAGGACAAGTTTGTTAGTTTTTGTGATAATTTTTCTGTAAAGTGGGTGTGGCTGTTGGTGTAGGTGTGGTGTGGAAAAGAGAGAGAAAGAGACAGAGACCTGGGAGATAGAGATGTGTAAGAGCCCAGAAGAGGCAGAAATTAGCAGAGCTATAAATTGTGCTGTACCTGGTGTGGTTGTCTCACCCACTGTTAAGCAAGAAAATAATCAAAATTCTAAATATAGGAAAAAAAAAATTCATTCACAAACAAGGAGCTGGTTTGAGAGAAAACACACGAAAAAATTTTTCTGGGCTGCCATTCATTTTAATGTCTCTTCTAAAAAACATGTTCTAAAATATAAAAAGAGTTAACAATTATTATGGTTTTCTTGAATTTAAAGTCCATAAAAATCAACATATTAGTGGAGGGTAAATTCATTTTCACACAAGACATTTTCCTTTCATAACAAACAATTAAAAATAAGAAAAAAATGGTATAATATAATAATGATTTGTTTAATTCGAAAATAGTAAAAAGGGTATGATTTTTTTTTTTTGTTCAACAACAACAGCCACTTAAAAAACGAATGACAACCAACAATCAAATAATGTTATCAAAAAATGAATGTTGCGGATGTGTATATGATTTTTTCAATTATTATAACACAGGGATTAAGATACTTGATGGCAGGTGTCAATAGAGCGTTTGTATTTCTGCAATAGTTTTGCACAATCAAATTTCGATGCCTATTAAACTATGTCAAAGATGTTCTTATTTTGTGCAACTCTTACATTACTTTCATTGCATATCAGAAATGCCACTGTCCACTGTTGAAGGACTGGCATCAAGCCACTGGCTACAATCAGGAACATGAGCAATATTTGGTCTATTAAATCTTCTTGAACTAATAATCTTATCTTCAGGGAAAAAGAATCTTTTTTGTATTGGCTCCATATATCTGCTCTGTATTTGATCTCTGTTTGATGGACACGGCTCAATGTAGTCAGCAGTCAGGTCTGGAAATAAAAAAGAATTATCAGTAGAGCATAATTATTTCTTATTTTGCATATGAGCCAAAATAAGTAATTTTGAAACATGCAAAATTGTTATATTCCATGCTAATAGGAATATATACTTGAAAAACACGGTGGATAAAATAAGTAAAGGTTTATAGTAAAAACCAGTACAATAAGAAATAAGGTAACAGTTATGTGCACAATCGTTGCAAGTCAATCCAGTAGTGAGTGCTACTATTGGAAGGTTAGTAGTTCTCGCATAAGTCTGAGTCATACTCAATAGATCCCAGTTAGACTCTGTAGTCCTTTGACTTACCGCTACTTATAGTGTAGTTACTCATGGGGGTGACAGGTTATTCCATTACATCAAAAATACAGCAGAACTCCCCAAATCTGAACATAGCATAATCTAGACTTCCTCATGTTTGGACTAATCTTCAAATCCGAACTTTTGTATTGACATAAATATGAAGCCTTTTCTTCCTTGAATCAGAACAGTACCCTCAATACCAAACATCTTGGATGTTCGGTTTAGAGGAGTTATACTGTATATCCTTATTTTGGACTTTCTTTACAGATTGTAATTGTTTTTGAATAAGATATTTCATAAACCTTTAAACATTTCATAAAGTGTTTTAGTTTTTCACAGATTTAAATATTTGCTTAGCACAAATTTTTTTATTACTATTGGTTGTCAGTTATTTTTTGTACATTTATGTAAAATGAACCAACATTACAAACTAACTTTTGTATCCTAAACTCTAAAACTTAATAAAAATTTTAAGTCTGCCTTTTCTTCCTCGTACCCTCAATAATGAACATCTGAGATGTTCGGTTTAGAGGAGTTGTACTGTACTAGGTTGAGTCATAAGTAATTTTCGTTTTGGTGAACCAATTGTAATGACAAATGTATTATGTTGAGGAACATAATGACGAAAGAGGGCTTGGAAATTTTGATACTCACAGGACAGATTGAAGGCAAGAGGGACAGAAGAAAACAACACATAACATACTTAGTGAGCTTGAGTAAATGGATAGTGGAGCAGGGTTTGGGAAAGACTGCAAAAAAACAAAAGTTACTAAGAACTACAAAGGAAGGATATTATGGAGAGCCATGATCACCAACGTCTTGAAGGGACAAAGCATATAGAAGAAGAAATAGATCATCTTAACTATTAATCATACATGGCAGTTAAAAATAAATTTGGAGCACATTAACAGACCTTAGTTTTTGCATAACAGTGCCAGTGTTGTCATCTTTTATGTGCCACATCCCTTTATGACAGAGGCGATCAGGGCTCTCCACAAATTTCAATTTTGTGTTGCTCTTAGAAGTTTTACTTTCTTTGATAAGTTCCCATCCCATCATTCTGCCATCCATCACATAAGCTTGTCATTTGCTCTTAGCATGCCTTGTGAGGTTTAAGTTTTCCAAGCCCTCCTTCCTCATTATGTATCTAAGGAATTTCAGCTGTCTTTTCCTGATTCTGAGTAGTAGTGTTCTTTCTGTTGCTATTTTCTTTAAGACTTTTTTGTTGCTTACTCATGCCATCCATGGAATTCTCAGTATCCTTCTGTAGAACCACATTTCTGCTGCTTCTAGTATTTTCTCATCCTGATGGAAATTATTCAACATTCACTACCATATAAGAGGATGGATACCACATAGCAATTCAGCACCATTTTCTTTGTTTCTTACAAAATTTTTCAGTTTCTCAGCACTTTGCTTAGCTTTTGGAATGCTTCTTTCAGTAGTTCAATGTGCATTTGGATCTCAGTATCACATTTTCCATGTTCTGTTAAAATGCATTCCAGATATTTGAATTTCTGCATCTGCTTGATGTTTATATCTCCAGTTCATAATTTGCATCTTCAGCTTTCCCTCTTGCTGATGACTATACCTTCTGTCTTCATGCACTTGCTGATTAGTCCTTTTTTTCTCACTTTTGTCTATCACCTTGCCTTGAATGTCTTGTAATTTCCTTTCCAAGTTAGCCATTAACACAGTATCATCTGTATATCTTATATTGTTAAGATTATTCCCAGTGATAATGAGTCCTGGTAGAGAATCCAGGTTCCCTAGGATATTGTCACTGTTGAAGTTGATTAAATTTGAGAAGGTGCATTTTTGTCTCAATGAATTAAAGGAAGTATATTGTTCTCCTCCACCATAACACAAATCCGTATACAGCAAGGATAACACAGGAAAGCATTTCGGAACACAGTTGGTCTGTTCTACACTATCCACCATAAGATGCATTTTTGTCTCAATGAATTAAAGGAAGTATATTGTTCTCCTCCACCATAACACAAATCAGCATAGAGCAAGGATAACACAGGAAATTGTTCTCTCCACCATAACATTTCGCAACACAGTTGGTCTGTTCTACACTATCCACCATAAGATGCATTTTTGTCTCAATGAATTAAAGGAAGTATATTGTTCTCCTCCACCATAACACAAGTCCGTATACAGCAAGGATAACACAAGAAAGTATTTCGGAAACAGTTGATCTGTTCTACACTATCCACCATAAGATGCATTTTTGTCTCAATGAATTAAAGGAAGTATATTGTTCTCCTCCACCATAACACAAATCCGTATACAGCAAGGATAACACAGGAAAGCATTTCGGAACACAGTTGGTCTGTTCTACACTATCCACCATAAGATGCATTTTTGTCTCAATGAATTAAAGGAAGTATATTGTTCTCCTCCACCATAACACAAATCCGTATACAGCAAGGATAACAAAAAGCATTTCGAAACAAGGATAACATCCAGGAAAGCATTTTGTCTCAATGAACACAGTTGGTCTGTTCTACACTATCCACCATAAGATGCATTTTTGTCTCAATGAATTAAAGGAAGTATATTGTTCTCCTCCACCATAACACAAATCCGTATACAGCAAGGATAACACAAGAAAGCATTTCGGAACACAGTTGATCTGTTCTACACTATCCACCATAAGATGCATTTTTGTCACAATGAATTAAAGGAAGTATATTGTTCTCCTCCACCATAACACAAATCCGCATAGAGCAAGGATAACACAGGAAAGCATTTCGGAACACAGTTGGTCTGTTCTACACTATCCACCATAAGATGCATTTTTGTCTCAATGAATTAAAGGAAGTATATTGTTCTCCTCCACCATAACACAAGTCCGTATACAGCAAGGATAACACAAGAAAGCATTTCGGAACACAGTTGGTCTGTTCTACACTATCCACCATATTCACCTTGCCATGCACCAACTTAATTACTTTTATTAATTTTTATGTTTTGATTGCTTCAAAATGCTTTCCCATTGGAGAAAACATTCTTTAATGAAAATCAGATACAAAAGTTCATCAAAAAACGTTTTCATATCAAAACCTGCAGAAATTTTACTCAAAATGTATCAAAAAGCTGCTTGATAAGTGGCAACAAGTCATTTCAAATAATGGTGAATATATTACTGAATGCAATGTAATTGTACCTTATGTTTTTAAGAATGATGCTGATAAACAAAAAAAATAAATTATTCTTCAACTTAATGTCGGTACTAAATCCTTTTATCTATATATTTTTTTAACTTAATTTCATCCAATAGCTCCAGAACCACTCAATGTAGAAGGCTACTGTTAAAATGGTTATTATAAATTAGGTGTATGATATGAATGAAAGAAGGTGGTAAGCAGTGAAGATTATGAGAATACAGAAGATGAGTAAAAATTAGAGGTTAAGCTTGAAGTGCTCAGGGCAATTTCCACATGAGAGTCTATTTCACAAAGTAGCAGTTCTTGGGGAAAAAGCTTTTTGAGTGGAACCTTCTTATATTTGGGACATGTGGGAAATGAGGGTGATTCAATTCTTAGGAAATTCCATGCTGTGTTCTAGCTGTAAAAGTTTCAGCTGGTGGGAGAATGGAGTTTATCTGAAAATTTGCTCTGGAAATAGTGATAAAGGGGCCGACAGGCATGTGATCTGTGGGCAAACAGTTGCAAAGTAGGTGAAAGATGAAGAAATGTTCAGATGAGCTCCATTCTTTAGTTCTACCAGTTCAGACCATTACAGCTAGGACACACCATGCCATTTCCACAGAATCAAATCATCTCTGATTTCCTCCATAATCCAACTATAAAAAGATGGTACCACTCAGACAGGTTTTCACAGAACTGCCATGCTGTGTTAGTGCTGCCCCAAACACTTCAATCTTGACGTCTTAAAGTCACATATCAACCTTTTTTTTCCATCTATATCTCACACCTCATATGGCATTACCATTTTGACTGTAGCCCTCAACCTTGAGTAGCTCTCAAGCCATGTAATAAGTGAAATTTAGTATTAAAAAAAAAATGACACAAGTTAACTGAATTTGAAATCTTAACTATAATGTTTGATTTAACTGGGAAGCATTGACTTAAGCATATTGACAAGGAAAGAAATTACATTGAAATTTTAAGCCAGAGATTTGTTAATGCATCTACATATGCACCCAGTGGGTGTGTGTGTGTGTGGGTGTGTGTATGCATGCACCATCAAAGGGTTAAGTTCCAATACAGTTATTTCAATTTTTCCAATATACAAGAACTAATGCTGGACAAAAAAGTCAGAGTAGCTTAATATTTTTAGCTTTGTGCTTTTGAAAGAAAAGACACAATTTGCAAATCAGGAGCAGGGCTTCAGATCTTTGAACTTATTTCAAAAATATTTAGAAAGATGATGGCATAAAGATACCCAATATAAAAACACATCACTATCTATGTGCAACAAGATCAAAAGAAGATGAATAAACAAATAGATATTCAATAATCTTGCATGAAGTGGATAAAAATAAAATATATATCAAAGTATTGGTCAAAGTAGTAAATTCTAAAAATAAACAACTTTTTACAAAAGTTAAAATATTCAGAATGATATATAATATGGTCTCTTTATTTAGTTTTATTTATTTGAAAGTTTAGGACAAGTTGAGATATAATTCTTCACTACTTAAATAGACTGACTCACTCATAACAAATAAGGGAAGATTTTTTAGGAAATAATTTTTGCAGATTTGTACATCAGATACTTCAGATTTACTTTAGGCTGTGAAACTTCTTCAGAATCAAAAAGATATTGATTTTTTATCATTTTAGAAGGGTTTCTTGTTTACTATATTAGTAAAGTGCCAAATTGATCACTGACTCTTCAAGAATTATTGGACTTAGTTGTTTTGTATATGAAAACAGTCGTTGTGCTGGGAGGTGCAAAAAGATTTATTTAAAATAAAGAACAAATAGATATATACATTTTTAATTAAAGAACAATAATTTACATAAATCAATAAAAGTATATATCTGTTGAATAATTCACAAACATCAAAGGTTGAAAAAATTGAAAAAATCCTATAGAGGAAATGTTGCTAAGAAAAATTTAAGGTTAAAAGAAAATTAAAAAATATTTCCAATAACTCAGACTGTCCGGATACAAAATGTGATTATCACTCTTTGGCTAAGATAGTCATATAGGTCACACGATAACTGTTTAGTGACATCACTTCATACAGTGATGAAAATGGCCAATCATTCAGTTTGTTGACAGCAGCTAAATCTAGCATTTGCTTTTTAAATCTGAGCCCCTTGTGTTAGGCAGGGGATAAATCTGTCTTCCTCAGCAAATGCTACAGTTTACAAGACCTTTGGGAACATATATTGCTAAGATATAAAAAGAACCTTTGGCTCACAGTCCTCAACTTGAGAAAACTCGCTTTTTCCTGTTCGCAAAATATGTCCTCACCTGGGACATAGTAGATGAATCTCACTTAATCTGGAATCCTACACATGACTTCTCCAGAAATACATGAACCATTTCCATATGTAAGAGCTTTCTTTTTAGATTCTCCTTACACTCTGGTCACAGTGTAGATATGTGTGATATATTTTTCTCTGCAGGGACATGTGTATATATGTATATGTAGTTTTATGTATGTCTTAGTGGATAAAAATCTCTCCAAGAACAAAGCATGTTTGTTATTCACTTTCCTTCCAGTTATTATATCATGGATATAATAATGCCCATAATGAGGGAAATGTAAATGAAAGAATAAATCTTTCTTGCATAGCTCTCTCCTCTTATAAGACTATTTCAATAAGATGAACAAGACCACACCCTTCTAAAATGATAAAAAAAAATCAATATTATTCAATTTTGATAAATTTCAGGGCCGACAGAACGCTAATGTACAAAAATTATTTAAAAAATTTTTTTCCATATTTTTTACAAGTGGACAAATTTATTTACGTAGTACTAACCTTTCCATTTCTGCCTATAAAATAAACACATTACAACATCAAATGGATAGGGTTTTCCAACTGACCTGTTATTCGCCTAGAACCTCCTATGTCTGCATCACTCCAGCCATCTTCACTGTCAACATGAGATGGGAGCAAATTTCTGTGAGTATCAGGCATCATGAATTGGCTTTGATCACTTATATCAATATCATCTATTTCCTAGAAATAAAAAAAAAAAAAAACAATAGAAATGACATGAAATTAGTTTCTGTCTGAATTTCTGAAAAGAGGAGTTATTATTTACATTTGGACTATTGTCTTTGTTGTAATGGAATGTTCCACTCTCCCTATTGCCTATTGTGAACTGATTATAACAGTAAATATATATAGTGTGCACAGGATATACCTGAGACTTGCTTCGGGAATTACTAGCCTGCTAACCGATTCCCTGACTTTCAGTAGTGTATTCTCTTTTACAATATACCTCTCTTTGTTTCATCTACATCTATGTTACTATACCTTTCACTCGAATACCACCTTTGTCTCTTTGTAACCTCTTTAAGGATGCAACAATCTTCATTTTTGTTGTTGTTATCTCTCCATTGGTATATCACATTGGATCTTTTTTTTAAAGCAATTCACCCCAAGCCAGGCAGGAGTGCCACTAGCACATAAGGGATTACAGAGGATTTAGAACAAGAGTAAAGAGGCATGTTTGGGGAAAGGATACAGAGAAGGACAGCAAACAAGCTCAGTACGTCAGATGTCAATTGACATTACACTTGATATTTGAAGATTATAGTCATTGGGGAAGCAAGCAAGAGGAAGTGAGTTCCACAGACAGGAAGTGTGGGAGAACAAGCTGTTTGAGTAGAAGAGACAGTTACATTTAACCGTTTTGATAGTGAAAGAGTGGGACCGAGATGCCAGCCTGGTAGCTCGCTTAAATTCATGCAGTCTGGGAACCAGCAAAAGTAGCTTGTTGGAACAGTTGCCGTGAAAATAATTGTAGAAGAGACAGAGGGAAGCCACAGCACATCTGTGGGATAGTGATTGTAGACTGTAGATGCCAGATCAGGACCTATCATTTTGCATATTCATCTCTGGATTTTGTTGAGGACCTTGAGACATACAATGAGAGCACCAGCCCATATATGACAGCAATATTCCATGCAAGGACGGATGGTTGATTTATAGATTAAAATCTGTACCGATTTGATAATTTCTAAATAAATTTCTAGGATGAGGAGTTATCATGATTTACATGTGGATTATTGTCCTCATCTTTGTTGTTATTATCAAAAGATATTGTTTGCAGGACAAATAATACCAAGAGTCATAAAAATGATAATTCTTTGCAATATGCAACTAATCCTAAAATTTATTTCATTATTGATAGATAACATGTATATAGACAATTTATCATAAAGTCAACGAACATATAAACTTATATGTTGATCATATCAATCATTTTATACCAGACAATGCTAAAACATCTTGCTAATAACATTTTTAGAGGCACCTCAGTGAAAGATATGTTACACAAATCTATATACATCAGACTAATGGAAGGTAAGCAAATGACAAAATGAAAAAAAACACCCAAGTGATTCATTAAAGATATTTTATAGCAAAGACAATTGGCCCTAAACTACATCCAATTTTATTATGCAAGTCAATGTTTTCACAAGAAAATTGGTATTAACTAACTAATGTTGGGAAAGTTTCCGAAATATATTTCCATTAAATATTAATGTTTCTACTGTACATAAAGTGCGTGATCAATTTTCGATTGTTATTAAGTAATAAGCTGATCCCCCAGGAATTGATACATGATTATTATTATGCAAATCTTATTACAGATTTTATTAAGCAAGTCAATGTACACACAATAAAACTGGTATTAACCAATTCATGTTGGTAAAATTTTAAATATATATTTACATTAAATATTAATTAAAGTTTCTACTGGACATCAAGTGGAGGACCGGTTTTCTATTGTTATTAAATAATAAAATGATCCCCTAGGATAATTATATAATGTCAAATTTTATTATGCAAGTCAATGTTTTTACAGTAAAATTGGTTTTAATCAACCAATGTTGGGAAAATTTCTATAATATATCTTATAGATATACATATATTATATTATGGAAATTTATCCTGTAAGTTTCAGCTCATGATATCTTTCCTTATTAAAAATAATATTGATGATAACTTAGTCATGTTTTTTTTTTCATAATAATGCTCATTATGTAAAAGTCTCAAGAGCCACTCCAGGTAGAGTATTACAAAGTAAGATGCACCATTTATGGGTATATGTGGGGAAGATAAAGGTTTGCCCTAAACTTGAAGCAGATAAGATTGTAGTGATTAGGGAAGCATCCTCTTGGAAGTTGATTCCACAAAGCAGCAGTTTGTGGAAGTGCAACAGAAATTTATATTTATAAATAGGCTATATATATATATATATAGGTCTGTCCTGATATGGGGGTGTCTTTCCTGGTCATATATCATATCAGTATTCCCTCTTTGTGTCAATTCCAAAGTTTAAGGGGTGTTAGATCATGAAAACAATTTATAAGAAAACTAAATCTGTTATAAAAATTGAGAACTGACCCATTTTGAGGCTTGGAAATTATATATTTGATTAAAATTATATCCCAGGCTTACAGCCATATCATGTTGAAACACTGGTACCTGTATGATCACCGAAGTTAAGTAATGTTTGCAGGTTATTTAAAGCCAGAAAATATTTTTAGATTGTAAGATTTTTTTTTTTTGAGATAATAATAAATTAATTATATAATTAAATTATTATTATCTCAAAAAAAAAAAAAAATCTTACAATCTAAAAATATTTTCTGGCTTTAAATAACCTGCAAAGGGTTGATAGAAAATGAATAAATGAATCATTAAAAAAATCTGTATCCATATACCTGAATCAATTATTATTATTTTAAATTTTATGTAGTAGTAGTATTTGCAAGTTGCTCCCAATTGCTGCTAACAAATTCTGTCTCCTCATGACTACTCGATTTTATATACAACTAGCCTAGAAGCCACCCTTTGGGTGAACTTTAGGCTTAGCTCCTGCAGAGGAGTTTTGGGCCTTTTACCTTCAGCATCCTATGTATATAAAAGTTATAAGAATTTAAAAATAATAAATTTTTTTTATCTTTATTTGAAACCTTAATTCAGTATAATTTTTCTTTATACAGTGTAACCCGGATATAAGAGAAACCCGGATATAAGAGAGATTTTCTCTGGTCCCAAATTAGAGCCTGTGTTAATGTATATAAAATAGACCAAACCCAGATATAAGAGAAACCCGGATATAAGAGACTTCTTCTCCGGTCCCGACAACTCTCTTATATCCGGGTTACACTGTAGTATAAAGAAAGATTTCTTTATACTATACAGTACTTTATTTCTTTATACTAGTATGAAGAAAGATTTCTTTCTTTACAGTATAAAGATTATAATTAATAATATAATCTTTCTTTATATGAAACCAATCTCCATAGTTTGTTTACATTAATGATTAAATCATTTATTTTTGTGTGCAATTTTTATTTTCTTTTAAAATCACCATTTTTATGATGGCTTCCCATAAAGTCACTCTTCAAAGAAATTAGGGAACTCGAACTATGTAATACTTCGAATACATCATAGTATATATACTAGAAAAAAATACAACATATGAGAAACATACCATGCCCTACTTAAGTTTAAATTACGGTTTAAGTAGACAATATCAACTGCAACTGTGACAAAAAGTGAAATTAAAGTTAAACTTTTAATAAAGAATTGTTTTTTAAACCTTTCACTATGTTCGATATTTAAATTTAACTTTAAATGAGTTATTTAATTTTTAATTGTGTGTAGTGTAACTACAGTAGTTACTACCTATTACTTCAGGTAGTTTATGATTCAAAAACTGGACAGACAGACATACGCACACTGTACTTTATTTATATAGAGATAAATGTCTCTCAGCCATATGCAAATGATCACTCTTACATTTACATACCATTACACTAACTTATATCAGACTTTCATTCATTGATTTTGTTAGTTTTTCTACTGTTTCAAATTTAACATTTGCTTATACAGTGTAACCCGGATATAAGAGAGTTGTTGGGACTGGAGAAGAAGTCTCTTATATCCGGGTTTGGTCTATTTTATGTACATTAACACAGGCTGTAATTTGAGACCAGAGAAAATCTCTCTTATATCTGGGTTACACTGTAGCAATGATAACATTACTCAAATATTGGATTCACAGATCCATCACTATTAATGATGAATAACAAGTTTTTTATTGAATTAAATATTTTATTACTTATAACCATGAAGAAAAAAATAATTAGGCAGTTTAAAAATAAATGAATTAATAATGAAAAACGTCATTTAACTTATTTTGCTCGTTAGATATCAGGTTGGCATTCTTAAATTAAAGAAGGAACAAGGGAAATAACTCATGATTATCTCCATTATAACATATTACAAATGATTCCAGCTGACTTAAATTCATAATAAATGTATCAGAATAAAATTTTAATGCAAAACTGAAAAGTATTTTATTATGTAGTTAATTACTTTCTGCCAGAAAATATAAATACAACAATAATCGCATATCTTTGCATGTTTCCTGTTAAAAAAAAAAATTAAGAAAAGGCTAGAAAATATTGACAACTACTTTTTGGTACTAAGTAAACAGATAATCTCCTGTATTGATATAAATTATTATCTTTACATTTTAAACACCAAATTCTACTTCAGTTTTAGTTAATCCCTACTTTACCTGAACTATTGTTAAAGTGAACACCATCTCTTAGGTTTGTATGAATGTTTTTTACTGGAGTTCTCGCCTAGTCATAATCCAAATTTATTTAACCTTCATTGCAATCAGAGTAAAACAAGAACTGATATATTTATGATCAGAAAAACTAGACAGAACATGTAAGCATCGAAAAAAATTTAAGGAAAATGGAAACAAAAAGGACAATTATACTTAGAACCAGAAATTTCCAATGCAGATAATTAGTAAAGAAGGCTTGGAAAATTTGATACTCACAGTACAAAGTGAAGGCAAAGGAGACAGAGGAAAGCAGTGAGTAACCTACCTAACAAGCTTGTGTAAATAGTTTTTGACTGATTGAGTTGTTTGTTAAGGCTTATCAACATTTAAAACCCCAAAATATTTTTATATTGTA